ATTGTAGAGAGTGCAGAAGAGATTTACAAGAATTATTGCAGGGATGAGACTGTGGTTATGAAGATAGATTGAAGAAATTGGGACTTTTCTCTCTGGAGAGAAGAAGGCTAAGAGGAGATCTGATACAGGTTTTCAAAAACATGAGCAGGCTGGATAGACTAGATAAAGGGAAACTGTTGCCACTTGTAAAAGAATCAAGAACGAAAGGGATTTAAAGTGATTTGCAAAAGAAATAAAGGTGGTAGGGGTAAATAAACTTTGTCACTCAGCCAGTTGTTAAACTTGCAATAATACATCATGCTTTAAAAAGATAATGGTTCACTGTTACATTTTTGCTCATTTAACAATTGCATCTGCCTTTCACGGGACTAGTTAACATGGTTAGCTAGACAGCTAGTGGGAGGTGCTGTCTGGAAATGTAGTGGAGGCAGGTTCAATTGAGGTATTGGGTGATTATTTTGATAAAAATAATATACAGAAACATGGGGGAAAATCAGGAGATTGGCACTAGGTAATGATGCTTGTTTAATGACACAGTCGGTTTAATGGCTTCCTTCTGCACCATAAGACTTCTGTGATTCTGTGAATGTGTGTTTAAGAATGGTAGTTCTGTGCATGTAAATGCTTGGCTGACGAAATATAAGAATTGTTGTATGTTTGCTTTAAGCTCTGGAATTCTTTTCTTTACTCTCCCAGGGGATGTGGACGTCATTAGCAAGGCTTGCAAATGTTGCTCATCTGTAATTACCCTTGAACTGAGTAGTTTACCAGGCCGTTGCAGAGGTCAATTAAAAGGCAACAACAATACTGCAGGTCCTGAGCTGCACGTAGATCAGATCAGGAAAGGATGGCAGATTTCCTTTCTTAAAGGGCATTGTGAACCAGATGGATTTTTAAAACAATTATTACACAATCACCATCAAATAACCGTATGTTCCAATTTATTGCCAGAATTCAAATTCAACTACGTACCATAGTGGGATTTCAGCTTGCATTCTGATGCCATTAACATGGGCCCCTGAATTCCTAGACCAGTGATGATATACTATACCACTGAATTGCTTGGTCTGGTTTTGAAAAGTTTCAATTGTACAAAGTGAATATGTAGGATATTGCAAATTCTGATCTGGCACTTTCTTACATTTGGCAGTATCATTCATTAGCAAAAGTGGTCATTTTAATTATAAAGGTGTTAGTTCACACTGCCCTATTTGTATGGTGATACTGTGCGAAGGTTTCTTTAAGATTAAAGTGATCTAAAATCCACATCTGGTCTAACTAGAAAATTCTTCTTGAGTAAACAATATGAAGCTTATTGCATTACTACAACTATTTACAAATGACATGAATATGACCTCCATGGTTATGGAGAGTTGTAGGACCATCTAGCTCCATATTTGTCATCTACAAGCTCCTTCTTTGCTTTGACCAAGTCTCTGTAATACCATCACAGCATATGATGTTTGCTGCACTCAATTAAGTATTAATCTTTATGGATCCATATACAATAATATCCAGGAAACCTTGACTCAGAATGGACTTCTTGGACTTTCATATAAGGCCTTTTCTCAACTTATTTGCAGTTTTGATTTCAATGCAAAACATTTGGTCCTCGCTTTTCAAAAACGTTGCAATAATACATCATGCTTTAAAAAGATAATGGTTTACTATTACGGGCAGATCAAGATGTGCTGGGAGATGGAGCTTCAAAGAGTTTTGGGTCCAGTTGAACCTTGCATCTGGCAGGAGTGTGGGAAATCAAGATTAGAGCCCAGAACATGAGAGATCCGAGACGAGAGCAAGGAGATTGGAGATGAACTGGGAGAAAATGAAACAGAAATCGGGACCAAGAACAGAACCAATATGGAGAAGCAGCCGTGATGGCAATTAATGTGGCTTACCCTAACCCTAACCCTTGGTATAGCTTGGGAGGTGCATTTTCCCTGGTTCTACATTTGGGCAAAACCTAACAGGTGATCCCCAGGCAAAGTTTTCTGCCTCAGGGCAAACCAGTTTTCGAGAGGAGGCCCCCAAAGAGATGTTAGGCCCTTTATTTGAATATGCAAAGGGAATATTTTAATCATAGATATAGGACTTCACTCTTATGTCCATTACTAATCTGTTATGTGGTGCACTTATTTTTTTTTCTTTATTCATTCATGGGATGAGGGTATTGCTGACTAGGCAGCATTTATTGCCCAGAGGGCAGTTCAGAGTCAACCACATTGTCGTGGATCTGGAGTCACATGTAGACCAGACCAGGTAAGGATGGCAGTTTCCTTCCTTAAAGGACATGAGTGAACCAGATGGGTTTTTCCAATAATTGGCAATGGATTCATGGTCATCATTGCATTCTTAATTCCAGATATTTTTACTGAATTCACATTCCACCATCTGCTGTGGCGGGATTCAAACCCAGGTCCCTGGAATGTTATCTGGGTCTCTGGATTAATAGTCCAGCGATAATACCACTAGGCCATCACCTCCCCCTAACTTATACCCAGCAATGTGCAAACAATTTCTGCCCATCATACTGGGACCATCATGTTGAGTGCCACCTTCCTCCAAATCGTTCAAGTTCGCTGCAAGTGTCCCAAACTTGGTCATATTCTGAAATTCATACAATTACACTTCCACCTATTAATCTGAGCTGTTATGGTTTGATAATACTTTCATTATATTGTGGGGTTCCTCCTTGACTAGTAATTTAACTGCTTTATTCAGCAGAGTTCAACACTGGCTTGTGCAGAGCAGAACCACTGCTCTCCAAATTAAAGTGAACAAGTCACCCTGGTGTGTGTGGTGGGGGAGTAGAGTGTCTGTTCAGTGTTTCTGAAATAACTATCTGTATATTTGCAAAGTAGGTTTAACACCTCTGACTCTCACATGTATTCCTTGACATTACATCACATGACCTCTCACCTGCCCTTTAGAAACATAGAAAATAGCCCTTCGAGATTGCTTCACCATTCATTATGATTATGGCTGATCCACCAACTCAATAGCCTGTTCCTGCTTTTCCATTATGTTCTTTGATCCATTTAGCCCAAGTGCTATGTCCAACTCCTTCTGGAAATCATACAATGTTTTGGCCTCAACTGCTTTCTGTGGTAGTGAATTCCACAGGCTCACCCCTCTAGGTGAAGGAGATCTGTGACCCCTGGTTCCAGACTCTCCCATCATCAGGATCATCCTTTCTCATCTACCATGTCTAATCCCGTTAGAATTTTATAGGTTTCTTCTGAAAGCTAGCAAATATAATCCTAATCAATTCAATGTCTACTCATACATTAGTCCTGGCATCCCAGGAATCAGTCCAATAAACCTTTGCTGCACTCTTGCTACAGCAAGAACATGCTTCCTCAGAAAAGAAGACCAAAACTGCATACATAATTCCAGGTGTGGTCTCGACAAAGCCCTGTATAATTGCAACAAGACAACCCTGCTCCTGTGCTTGAATTCTCTCATTATGAAGACCAACACACTACTTGTCTTCTTTACCGTCTGCTGCACCTGCATGCTTACCTTCAGCTATTGGTGTACAAGAACACCCAGGTCCTGCTTCCTTTTTCTCACTTTATACACATTCAGATAATAATGCACCTTCCTGTTTTTGCTGCCAAAGTGCATAACCTCACATTTACCTGCATTACACCGCATCAGCCATGCATTTGCCCACTCCCTCAGCTTGTCCAAGTCACACTGAAGCATCTCTTCACAGTTCACACTCCCACCCAGCTGTGTCTTTTCTGCAAATTTAGAGATGTTTAATTTAGTTCTCTCTTCTAACTCATTAATTTTTTGAGTAGCTGGGCTCTTACCACTGAGCCCTGCAGTATCTCATTAGAAACTACCTACCATTTGGAAACAGACTCATGTATTCCTACTCTTTGTTTCCTGTCTGCCAACCAGTTGTTTATCCATCTCACTACACTACTCTCAACTCCAGGTCCTTTAATTTTACACACTAATCTCTTATTTGGGACTTTGTCAAAGGCCTTCTGAAAGTCCAAATAAATGCCATTCATTTGCTGCTGTTCACCAACTCTTCAAGTTACATCCTCAAACAATTCCACTGGGTTTAAAACATTCTTTATCCTTTTATTGCCTAACTTTATTAGTAAGAAATGAAAGTGTTCAATATAATTTTAAAAATGCTTTTATGATGCTTCTCCCGGACTTCCTCATAACTGTGATCAGGAGATTAATCTCCAATTGCTGGTGACTCTAGGGGAATCCCAGAAAGTTGGCACCTCTATAGAAATGGCATGAAACTGCACTGATACATAGTGATGTTACATTAAAGTGAAATCAGAGGATTCAAACAGGGGAAGCACACTTAGTTGTGCTTTGGAATCAGATCAGGCTCTGATTCCTGATTAATATGTCTAAGGTAGGAGTTATGTGAAGTCAAAATCACTGCATACTGATGCTGTACGTGCAGTACTGATCATGACACATGTTCCAATAATAGAAATTAAAGTCGATTCATTCCTAACAAGTAGCAAATAATTCAGTGATGATTGCTCGTGACTATTCTTGCCTGCATTGCTTAAAATACCCTCATTGCCTGATTTCCAATTGACTTTTAGTGGGCGGTAACAATATTAAAAATCTGACTAGTCTCAAAGTTCCAGGATATTGCCATCATTAATTATTGAATTTCTGATCAGACGCATTGTTCCGTGAAGGAGACTGGTCAGAGTCAGTAATTTATGTATATTTGGCATTGAAGTGTCAGTTAAAGAAGGTATCTGTCAATCTCACATGTGCAGAATTACAACTTAGCTGACTGAAAATCCTCTCATATGACTCAGTGGGATTTACTGGTTTAGTTCAAATTGCTATGACCACAGACCAGATTAAGTGTTTTGCGATTTTTTTTGAGCCATCAGCCAGTGAGAACTGAAGGAGAATAGCAGCATTTGAAAAGATTTAGGATTGGGTGGCTTCTTTCTCCTTCTTCCCCAACAGTGTTCTTCAGACTTCTCATTGTCATTATGTGGTTTGGACATCTCTTGCCCTTTTGTTGCTGTTTTTGGCTGGTAGAAAGCAGTTCAGAAGGGCAGAGGAGAAAAGATCAATTGCAAGAATATCATCAGAGCAGGTAAGAGAATCAGAAATGATAGGTGAACTTGGATTAAGAAGAATGTGAATTTATACCATCCTTTATATTTTTTACTATCTGAATGGTTTTGTTCTTAGATATTTGCATGATATACTCTTTTAATTAATACTAGGTACTATTTTAGAGCATATAAATATTTAAACCCCTTAAAACTTACATGGGTCATGTGTTTATGTATTTTCAGTAGATACATATTTTATAGGTACATATGCTGTGTTATGCATATAACTGTGCTAAGATGTTAGCAGACCAATGTACGATGGTTCAGTGGTAGCATTACCAGATCTGAGTCAGAAGGTTTCAGCCCCACTGTAGAAAGCCCTAGCAAACAGATATGAGATTCCTAGTCTCTGAATCTGTGATTTTGTGAAACCACTTCAATATCTAATGGGGCACTCATGCCTCATAAATGCAGAGTTGATACTCCCCCACCACCATTCCACCCTCAATGTCCTGAAGAAGGGTCACTGGACCCGAAATGTTAACTCTGATTTCTTTTCCTCACAGATGCTGCCAGACCTGCTGAGCTTTTCCAGCAACTTCTGTTTTTGTCCACCAATACAGTTGAGACCAGTCATCTAGCTTCTGACAGTCTGTGGGATACCCCAGTCTGATGGCAATGGAGAGACCCCATTCACCACCCCTGCCACGGTGTCAAGGTGATCTCCACAGTCTGGCAAATGCCCTGGTCAGCTAAACAATAGGTCTTTGCTCTGGAAACACCCACGATAGAGTCTGTGCAATCAAGCAGAGAAGAGAACAAGAATTCACTAGATACAGGATATGAAAATAAATATTGAAGCTGCAAAATAAAGGAGCACTCGAAGATTGAGAGAAAATAATAGCAAATGTGATTAGTGCAAAAAATACAGGTAGATAATTTTGTTTCAAAAACAGAAATTACTGGGAAAACTTAGCAGGTCTGGTAGCATCTGTGGAGAGAAAGCAGAGTTAACATTTCAGGTCCAGTGACTCTTTCAGAATTGATTATAGCTAGGAAAAGGTATATATGCTGAAGGTGGGGTGGGGGAGGGGTGAAGAATAAATGATAGGTGGGGCTGGAGTCCAGCAAGAGAGAAAAAGAGTTGGACAGACAAAGAAATGGGCAAAGGTCAGCCTGGGAGAATCAATAGCCATTAATTGGAGCCATTAGTGACTGACAATGGGGCAGTTGTGGTAGCAGTACATGGCCTGGTGAGTGGGGCTTGGGGTAAGGACATTGGAAAAGCTGCTCAGTCTGTAAAATTATTGAACTCGATGTTGAGTCCAAAGGCTGCAAGGTCCCCAAGTGGAAAATGAGATGTTTTCTTCCAGCTTGCACTGAGCTTCACTGGGGCACTGCAGCAAACCTGAGACAGGATGTTGGCCAGGGAACATGGAGGTGTGTTGAAATGGCAGGCAATAGGAAACTCGGGGTCATTTTTGCAGACAGAATGTAAGTGTTCTGCAAAGAGGTCGCTCAGTCTGCACTTCGTCTCCCCAGCGTAGAGGAGACCATGTTGTGAGCAGCGAATACAGTAGACTAGATTGAGTAGAGTGCAGGTAAATCGCTGTTTCACCTGGAAGGTGTGTCTGGGCCTTAGGTACTGAGGAAAGAGGAAGTGTACGGGCAGCTGTTATACCTTCTGCAACAGTATAGGAAGGTGCCATGGGGCTGTGGAGAGGTGTTGGGAGTGGAGGAGTGGACCAGGGTGTCCCAGAGGGCCTGGTCCCTGCAGAAGTCAGGGAGGGGAATCTGTGTCTAGTGGTGGCGGAAATGGAATTCTTCTTCCATTCCATTTGTCTCCGTGCCTATTTCTTTGGACAAGAGTCCACTTTCTGTCTCACAGATCCCTTCATCTGCCTCCAACACTCTCCCAACACCGGGCCCACTCCCTCTGGTCTTTTACCTGCGTTTGACATTTTTATCAAGAACTGTCAACGTGACATTGGCCTTAATTTTTCTGGTCCTTACCCACTCAAGCCTATCAAAATATTTTTGTATTTTTATGTAAAATATGGAAGCACTTAAGTGATGGACATATCACTTTATCATTTACCGCTATGAATCCAGGCAGAAAACGCTCAAAGGGGTTGAGATGAATGGACCGTCCCTGTCTAGCTTGTCTGTCATTGATGTATATGAGATATTGTCATGTGCAAAATTGGTTGCTGCAATTCCCACCACTGTAATAATGATTATACTTGAACGCTCCTTCAGGGCTATTTGAAGAGTAGCAGGGAGAATTCCCAGAACTCTACAAAATTTAACCATTTAAAACAATTATCCTTTGATTTGGGACATTGCCATTTGTGGGACCTGGTTCCATGTAAATGATGCATAGGACCCTATATTACCTTATTGTGAAGCACTTTGTGATAGCCAAAAGTGAGGAAAAATGTTTTATTAATATAAATTCCTTCTTGTTTTACTATTTATTGAATTTTGAACTTAAGTCTTTAATTTACTTTTGTCCCTATCTATAAAATCTGTAATCCCAGATACTCTTCTACAAATCTTTATCAATTTGTCCTCCGAAACAATTCTCCTACTCCAGGGGGATCAACTAGAACTCCTAGGGTTGGGTTTAATAAAGGTCAAATTATAATACAGAGACAGGAACTGTTTGGCTATTATGTACTCTCCTACTGTAACTCTGGGGGAATGTTCCTGAAATGGCTGAAAATTCTGGATATACAAGACCCTAGTATTTCATAAGCATTTTCGGTGTCCTCTTTTGGCAGCAGAAATTCTTCCCATTTCAAATGAGGTCATTAATGTGGAAGGTAAATGCAGGATAATTTTGACTTATACAAAGTAAGAGTTGGCCAACTATCCCAATGGGACAATTGCACCTATACACATGAACTGCAAATATGGAAGAAAAAGGAAACAGAATTTATATTCTTAGAGTGGCCACCAAGACCCAGCCTTCTCCGTCTGAGCAAAGTGTCTCAAAACAAAAGCTTTGGTCAAACAACTTGTACAGATACCTGCAGCAGGCTAATTTTTGACATGTTCCGCCAGTGGTATGTGGCATTACGGATGCCTGCCAATGTGATGGCTGTGTTACTGGACTAGTAATCCAGTGGCCAGGACTATGCATCCTGATATGAACATGAATGTGCTGTGTTCAGATTACAAACTCAGTTCAAAAGTAAGAAACACTGGTGTCTGTGAAAGTGATAATGAAATTATTTGATTGCTTGTAGAAGATGGCCAATTTCATACATTCTTTTTTCCTAATTGTTCCTTGTTTTTGGAGAGCAGATTCCAGAGATATGGGAGACCTGTTGAAGAAACAAAAAAGCAGGGCAGGTAAGAGACTGGGGTTTTGGCAGCCCAGTACAATTTGTCTGCTATTCTGTCAATCTATCATAGTGACAACCTTCTAATATCACCACATGCTCATAAATTCTTCATAAAATCATTGATTTGAGCAAAATTAAAAGGTTTGTACCTTTTAGATTCAGTATTAAACATTTGTTAGTTACGTATATTGTAAGGAATTATAACAGAACCTGATGGGAAATCAATAGGATTGGATCAATTATCTATGTCACATCTGGCCAATTACAGATTCCATTAATCCCAGATAAAAGTGGTCAGGTGGGGAGTGAAATAGGCAGCAAACCCAACTTGTTCATTTTTCTGTAGGTTAAAAGATTAAAATGGCCCTATCAGCTTGACTCAATGCCTCTGAGGTTCTATAGGTTTACATACTGCAGCCAGAGAGTACGGCTGGTGGATATTGAATCCACGGGCAAGGATGTTCCATCCAGAGTAGAGGAAAGATCTTGAGCACTCTTGTAGCTGCATGTAAATATTCCATCACATATATTCACATAAACCTTGTAGATGATGGCAAGGCTTTAAAGGAGAGGGGTCAGGAAATGAACCACTTGACCTTGTAGGAGCAAATTAATGCAGATGCTAGAATCTGTACTGAAAACAAAAAATGCTGGAAATCACAGCGGGTCAGGCAGCATCCATGGAGAGAGAGGGCAAGCTAATGTTTTGAATCTAGACGACCCTTCATCAGAGCTGGTGAACAGTCATGTAGGCTGGAAACATCAGCCCACATTTGACCTTGTACTCTGTCTCTGCCAGAACATTGGAATTTCTACATGAGAAAGGACCAAAACCCTCTACTATCCTGGTGGTTGCATAATATAACAATAACAGCTGCAAAATAATGGCAATAAATATCTAGGAAAACCTTAGTTGTTGACAGCTTCAGGAGCCAGAGATTTAAAGTCATCTACTCCTCCCAAGTGTGCTAGACATATCATATGTCATGCCTCAAATTACCCATACACTGTATCACAAAATATTATTCTCTGAGAGATGTAATTTGCATTTAAATTAATCAATTTTATCTGCTTCCTCCATTTCCCAAGAAAACCTGTTTCATTGAGTAACCACTGACTCACTAAAACAACAGCCTAATATTTATGAGATAGTAGGAACTGCAGATGCTGGAGAATCTGAGATAACAAGGTGTAGAGCTGGATGAACACAGCAGGCCAAGCAGCATCAGAGGAGCAGGAAGGCTGACGTTTCGGGCCTAGACTCTTCTGCAGAAATGGGGGAGGGGAAGGGGGTTCTGAAATAAATAGGGAGAGAGAGGGGGAGGCGGATAGAAGATGAATAGAGGAGAAGATAGGTG